AATTTCCTGTGGGTTAGCTTGAGTTGGTTCCAACGGGTTTGGTGCTATCCTAGCACAACAATTGGTATCAGAGCACTAGTTGCTCTTGGGTACTGTTTAGTTGCCAAAGATGTCAGACGGGCAAGATGAGAATCCTTTTGGAAGCAGCTCCGGGTTCGCAAGAACTACGGTGCAAAATGCAAAGTTCGAAGTGGAAAAGTTTGATGGCACAAACAATTTCGGGATGTGGCAATGTGAGGTCAAAGATGTGTTGGCTCAACAAGATCTACTTGCCGGTTTGGGAGAGAAGCCGGAAGCTATGTCGAAGCAGGAATGGGAGAAATTAAATTTGTGGGCTTGCTCTTCAATTCGGTTGTGCCTTGCAAAAACTCAGAAGTATTTTGTGATGCGGGAGACGGTAGCAAGTGTGTTGTGGCAAAAATTGGAAGACAAGTATATGACAAAGAGTGCAGAGAACCGGCTACACTTGAAGAAAAAGCTCTACCACTTCCAATACAAAGAAGGTACAAAAATGATTAGACACCTTGATGCTTTTAATAAGTTGATTGCCGACTTGTTAAATTTAGATGAGGATATTAAGGATGAAGATAAGGCCTTAATATTGTTGAATTCCTTGCCGGACTCTTATGAGCATTTTGTTACCACTATTATGCATGGTAAAGAAACTGTGAAATTTGAAGATGTGTCAAATGCCTTGATGAATTATGAAATATGGCATAGAGATAAAAACCATGATAGTACCTCTGAAGCTTTATTTGTTAGAGGTAGATCATCGGAGAGAAGATCATCTTCTAGCAGGAAAAAATCACAGTCTCGACCTAGAGGAAACTCTAAAGGTAGAAAAACTTTGGAAAGGGATGAATGTGCCTTTTGTCATAATAAGGGCCATTGGAAGAAAGACTATCCTAAGTTGAAGACCAAAGGAAAAGAAAGTTCTGAAGCCAATGTTGCTGAGGTTGAAACAGATGTTTTTGATTTTGCTTTAACCACTTTCTCATCATTTGATTGTGCTACTAAATGGGTGTTGGATACGGGTTGTACTCATCATATGACTCCTCACAAGAATTGGTTTTCAAGCTTGAAAGAGTTTGATGGTGGCGTTGTGTTCATGGGAGATGACAATCCGTGCACAACAAAAGGGATTGGTACAGTTCATTTGAAGTTGCATGATGGCATGGTTAAAGAGTTGACAGGTGTTCGGTATGTACCGAATTTGAAGAAAATTTTTATTTCTTTGGGTACTTTGGAATCTAAGGGTTTCAGGTTTCATTCAGATGGACAGACATTGAAAGATACTTATGGTGCACTTGTTGTGATGAAAGCTCCTAGATGTGGCCATTTGTATTTATTGCAGGGAAGCACTGTGACAGGTGAAGCATCTATAGTCTCTGAAAATATGGGCACATCTGATTCAGATACTACTAGACTGTGGCATATGAGATTAGGCCATGCTGGTGAGAAAGCTCTACAAGGGCTTGTGAAACAATGTCTTCTAAAAGGTGCCACGACTTGTAAGCTTGATTTCTGCGAGCATTGTGTCTTGGGGAAGCAAACTAGAGTGAAGTTTGGTACTGCTGTACATCAGATGAAGGGCATTCTTGATTATGTGCATTCGGATGTTTGGGGTCCTACAAAGACTCCCTCTTTGAGTGGTAGACATTGGTTCGTGACCTTTGTTGATGATTATTCAAGAAGGTCTTGGGTCTACACTATGAAGCACAAGAGTGAGGTGTTAAGCATTTTCTTGGGTTGGAAGAAAATGGTTGAGAACCAGACTGGGAGAAAGATTAAGATTTTGAGATCGGATAATGGTGGTGAATACACATCCGATCCTTTCTTTAAAGTTTGCAAAGAGGAAGGAATTGTGAGACATTTCAGTGTTCGGGGAACTCCACAACAAAATGGAGTTGCAGAAAGATTGAATCGAACCTTGCTTGAGAAGGTTAGATGTATGTTGTCTCAATCGGGTTTAAGCAAGTCATTTTGGGCAGAGGCAGTTAATTATGCATGTCACATCATCAACCGGTTACCCTCAGCTGTTGTTCAGGGTAAGACACCAATGGAGGTATGGACTGGAAAACCTTCTTCTGATTATGACTATATCCGTATTTTTGGTTCACCTGCTTATTTTCATGTGACTGAAAATAAACTTGATCCTAGAGCCAAAAAGGCTATCTTTCTTGGTTTTAGTAGTGGTGTCAAAGGTTACAGGTTGTGGTGCCCAAAGATGAAACAAATTGTAATCAGTAGAGATGTGACATTTGATGAAGAAAGTATGTACAAAGTCTCTGAGAAGAATGTGAAAGATGTCCAACATGTGGATCTTGAGAAAGTTGCCTCTGGTACTTCAAATCCTATTTTTGCTGATGTCGAAGCCACTACAAGTGAAGAAGTTGGAGACCATGAGAATGTTGAAGAAGTTGAACTTGAAGATTCTATTCAAGTTGAAGAGCAAGTTTCACCTCAAGAGTCTATTGCCAAGAACAGAGGAAATAGACAAATTACCAAGCCAGCTCGGTATAGTGACTATGTTTCTTTTGCTCTTCCTATTATCACTGATGAGATTCCATCCAATTTCGAGGAAGCCATTGAGAGTGAGGAGAAGGAGAGGTGGTGCAATGCCATGGGTGATGAGATGAATTCTCTCTTGAAGAACAAGACTTGGAAGTTAGCTAAATTGCCTAAGGGCAAGAAAGCTATCGGTTGCAAATGGGTGTATGCCAAGAAGGAAGATGCTGATGAGAAAAGCAATGTGAGATTTAAAGCAAGATTAGTTGCTAAAGGGTATGCACAAAAGGAGGGCATTGACTACAATGAAATCTTTTCTCCGGTTGTGAAGCACTTCTCAATTCGAATTATGTTAGCTCTTGTTGCACAATATGATCTTGAGCTTGTGCAACTTGATGTGAAGACGGCTTTCCTACATGGTGATTTGAATGAAGAGATTTATATGTGTCAACCGGATGGGTATATAGTGAAAGGGAAGGAGAATTTGTTTTGCAAATTGAAGAAATCACTTTATGGCTTGAAGCAATCTCCAAGGCAATGGTATTTGAGGTTTGATAAATTTATGAGAGGCCAAAATTATTCTAGAAGTCAATATGATCATTGTGTGTACTTCAAGAAGTTGCAAGATGGGTCTTTCATTTATTTATTGATATATGTTGATGATATGTTGATTGCCTCAAAGAATGTTGAAGAGATTGAGAAATTGAAGAAACAAATGAAGAATGAGTTTGAGATGAATGATCTTGGTGAAGCAAAGAAGATCCTTGGCATGGAGATCACTAGAGATAGAGAGAAGGGTTTGGTCAGTTTGAATCAAAGACAATACCTTGAGAAGTTGATTCGGAAGTTTGGAGTTCATGATTCAACCAAACCGGTTAGTACCCCTTTGGCTCCTCATTTTAAATTGAGTTCTCTACAATGTCCTAAAACTGATAAAGAGAAGCTACAAATGAAAAATATACCATATGCAAATTTGGTTGGTAGTTTGATGTATGCAATGGTATGCTCTAGACCGGATATTGCTCATGCAGTTGGCATGGTGAGTCGATATATGCATAATCCAGGTAAAGAGCATTGGCAAGCAGCTAAGTGGATATTGAGGTATCTCCATGGTACTCGAGATGTTGGTTTATGCTTTGAGAGAGATGACTCTGGTATTTGGTCATTTTGCAGTTGGTTATGTTGATTCAGATTATGCAGGTGATCTGGATGGAAGGAAGTCTACTACAGGCTATGTGTTTACTATGGCTAAAGGGCCAGTTTGTTGGAGGTCCATTTTGCAGTCGTCTGTTGCCTTGTCTACTACAGAGGCTGAATATATGGCAGTTGCTAAAGCTATAAAGGAGGCCATTTGGATACATGGGCTTATTAGAGATTTGGGGGTTGATCAGAAGCAGGTGGAGGTACATTGTGATAGTCAGAGTACCATTTATTTGGCTAAGTATCAGGTTCATCATGCGAGGACCAAGCACATAGATGTGCGTTATCACTTTGTTCGTGAAATTGTTGGTGAAGGGGAAATCATTCTCCAGAAGATTCCAACTAAAGACAACCTCGCTGATATGTTGACTAAGGTTGTTGGTGTAGCCAAGTTTGTTCACTGTTTGAACTTGGCTCACATTATGCCTATATAAAGAAGGCGTTGAGCAGTAGGAGTTTTGGAGCATTTGGCTCGGCATGAGTTGTTCTCTTGCTAGTGTTTGGGAGTGATGTTGTGTGTTAATTGTGTTGGTTGGCTTATCATGGCGTTTTTCGGAACTTGGCCAAGGTGGAGATTGTTGAATAATTGGCCAAGTGGCCAAGTGGACAACAAAACAATTCAAAAGAAAAAAAAAAGAAGGTGGACAACATCCTTCCTTGTTTTGGGGAGGAAAACATGGACCTTGTCTAAAGTCCTTTTGTTTTTTATTTGGCATATGGAAAGCCACGGCTGAGGTTTTGAATGATAAGTAATTGTTGTTTTTGATGAAGAGAAGTAATGCAGCCATAGAAGAGAAAAAAGCGCACCAGAAAATAGAGAGCAAAAATAGAGGTGCTGCAGCCCCATTTTCAAGAGAAGAAAGAAAGGTGATTTTCTTTCTTTGTTGGTACTCACTTAATCAAAGTTGTATATGTGTATTAGCTTTGAGCTTTGTATAGGGAGGAAATTATTCACTATATTTCCCTCTCTATTTGTTTCTTTGGTGAGTGAGAGTTATTGGGTGTATTGGGGTTTTGGGTTGTGAGATTGCCAACACTTTGTAAACTCTCATTTGGTTGATAGTGGATTATTGGGTGAGCTCCTACTGCTCCGAGGACGTACTCCAGTTACACTGACTGTGGAGGAACCTCGTTAAAATCTTTGTGTCTTTAATATTTTATTCTTGCATTTTCATTTGATAAATTTCCTGTGGGTTAGCTTGAGTTGGTTCCAACGGGTTTGGTGCTATCCTAGCACAACAAAAACTAGTGTAAACAACACTAAGAATTTTTGATCCAGAATTGAAGCGAATCTAAGCAGTATTGACCCTTCCGGTTGTAATGGATCCATTCCAAGGCTTTGTAACCTTAAACTTGAGAGAGTTGATGTCAATACCAACATGTTCGCCGACAGGATCTTCGACGGAAGTGACGAGATTCGTGAAGATATCAAACTCAACTGCCACAAAGGGGTACAGATTCGTCGACTCATTATTTGGCGGGTTTATGACGGGGAGGCCTAGAGCGCCGCCTTGGCTTATTGTGGTGTTGAGTAAGGATCCGTTTGGCGCCAAAAAGAAGGCGAGTCCGTCGCCGTAGGGCGTTTTGCCTACAGAGTCGATGACGAATGTGAAGTTTGTGGTGAAATCGGCGAGTTTTCCGGTGGCGTTCTCGCGGAGGAGGAAGGTTTGAGAGTAGGTGGCTCGGCCGACGCTTTGGTTCTGTGAGATGTCGGCATCGCTTTTAGTCAGGCGGAGGAACGTGCCGTCGACGAAAGCATCTCCCTCGATAAATAAATTGGTGAGGCCGTTTGGGAAGGAGGAGAAGTTGAAGGATAATGGAGTTGCACAAGGGAGTAGCTCAAACAAGAGAAGTTTGAGAAGAAAAAGGACAACCACCATTTTTAATAGTATGTTTGTAATGCTTTTACTGATTAAACGGTGATCATCTGAAAATATAGCAAAGATTGTAGAGGAATTAATGAATATTTCAGGGGAAATTTTATTTAAACCCACATAACTTTTCTCTCTTTTCTTTGTTGAATTCTTGCTGATCTATGGTTTTTTTGTAAAAAAATTCTGTGTTTAGAACTGTAAATTCGGATTTGGAAAATGGGGTTTCTGTGCAAATTTCGATATTTGGATTTGGTTGGTTGTTGGTTAAACTTAGGGGGAATACCTTCAATTCTAAGGTGATTAGACTAACTGGGTCTCTCTTTTCTTATTGAGTTCTTGATGATTTATGAGTTTTCTGTCAAATTTAATTTTTGTTTAGAACTGTAAGTTTGGATTTGGAAATGGGTTTTGTGCAAGTTTGAATTTTTAGATTTGGTTGTGTTTGCTCACTGTAAATTTGATTAAGTTGGTTGTGTTCGCTTAAATTCAAGAAAACTATTTATAACGTACTCTGAAGACTGTCAATTTATAAGGATAAATTATTGTGAGCTCAGTGTAGATTTGGTTAAGCGGCATGTGTTGGCTAAAATCGGAGGAAATTGCTCCAGTTCTAAGGTGATTGTACATTAATGGGTTCTCTCTTTATTAATTCTTGATAATTTATGAGTTTTCTGTCTATTGCAGAGAGAGATGAGGGAGAGCATGGGGTAGGGGAGAGGATTCTCCGGGAGGGAGGTATGGATTTAGGGAGAAAAAGTAAGGGAGGAGTATGGGGGTAGGCTGTGCCATTTGGGGGTAGGTTTAAGGGGAACGTTTTTGCCATTCTTAATCGAGGTCATCATGACTATATACCAACTGTGTTTGATATATTCAGTGCAAATGTTGTGGTTGAAGGCACCACTATGAACTTGGGCCTATGTGACACAGCTGGTAACTCTTTCCACCCAAATTCTAATTTCATGTTATATAAATGTGTTCTCCGCCCATTGTTAAGTGATTTGGAGTTAGGGTTGAGTTGGGGTCTATTTGGTTACCTGGAAAATTTGGGAAGGAAAATGGGGCCATGGGGTTTCTTGATTTGCTGTTGGATTTGTGGGAATTGCAATTTCTGGTGGAATTTTTGTGTGTATTTTCTTAAGGGAAAAAACTTCAATACTTTTTTTGTTTTCTTAGCCACCAAGTTGGAAATATTTCATTTTCTTTTTATTTGTGTTTGTAGTGATGTAATGCAGGTACACCCATATCTATATCCCAAACAACTGTTTATATGTATCTATTGTTAGAGAAGGCTTATGCCTTTTGGGTTCAATTTTATCTGCTCTCTGCATTGGATTTGATGTCTTCTCAGTCTGAATTTTTTTATTCAGCAATGGAGGTTGTATTATCGCTTGAGAAATTGGCAAATGAAAGCTGCTCCACTTGCACAGTCTTAAGACATTCTTAGTGGGTCTCTATTCTTCTAGGTACACCCGTATCTATATCCTAAGCGACTGTTTATATGTATCTATTGTTAGAGAAGGCTTCTGCCTTTTGGGTTCAATTTTATCTGCTGTCTGCATTGGATTTGATTTCTTCTCAGTCTGAATTTTTTTATTCAGCAATGGAGGTTGCATTATCGCTTGAGAAATTGGCAAATGAAAGCTGCTCCACTTGCATAGTGTAAGACATTCATTGTTATCGTATGATGTCTTCTTAACATAAGATGATTAGGTTTAGTTGATTATATTTTGTAACAGTAACATCGATTGGTTCGTGTTATGAATTAACAATCTTACTATACTATGTTCATCCTCGAATTTACGACTAACAGGTTGCTGAGAAGAACAAAGATGTGCAGTTAACAAATTTTGTTGAAACTGAGTTTTTGGTTGAGTAGGTCAGCCTTGATATTTTCCTTTATTTTTCCTCAGTTGGAAAGGTTCTACAGGGATACTTGCAGTATGATTTTTGATCTTCTGCTTTTACCTTTGTAAGTGGAAGTCATCAAGAAAATATCTGAATATGTTGCTCAACTAAGGACAGCTCGCAAAGGCACGGTAGAAACCCATAATCCAAGTTCGTTGTCATTACTTTATCCGATTCCGTTTTCCATTTTTTAAAACCCAGGCGCTGCTCAATAGAATGTTGTTGCTACGTGATGATGTTTAAGCACCTTTTAAGTTATATTATGTTTTCTATTAAAAAAAAGGTTATCTTCTGTCTTTTAGTATCAAAATCGTCTATCTGTACATAATCATTTCTTCATTGCTTCATTGTAGGTGAGAATATTATGCGAGAAAGCAAGGGAAATTCTAATGGGAGAAAGCAATGCTCAGGGGGAAATTTTGGTTTCTTTAGTCTCTTATTATATTTGTATTACATTACATATTTCACTGTTATTGCATTTTGTATTGGAAAAAAACCATTATTATTGTCCTTCATTTTGAACTGGTAACACTGGTGTAGATCATTCAAATTATATGGGTAGACACTTATTATTATTTATTTGCATGCCTGTAAAAAGGTTAGTGACAATTTGTGGCGATATTCATGGGCAATTTCATGACCTTGCAAAGCTTTTTTGAATTGGAGCGTTTTCTTGCTTGCAATTTTGAATTATTTCAAATTATGAATGACTAAGTTTTTTACTTACATCATTGTTGAGAGTGGGTTTTGCTTAAGCTTTTGAGTTCTTAGTTTATATCAAGACGTTTGATATGGTTTCATTTATTTTGTGGAATTAGATACTTTTATATTTAGATTTCCCTTTGGAGTTCAGTAAATTGATTGCTCCTTTGGCTGTAAATTTGACATTAAATTCTGGACTTTAATTTCAATGATTACCCAGTATTAATTGGCTATTGATTAGCATTTGTTTTCTAGAATTTGGACTCTGAACAGCTGAAAGGTTTTGGGAAAGAAGCGCTTTTTAATCAGGCCAATTGGGTCCTCCTGGCAATACAATGTCGAAAATTTGAAGTACGAGTCCGATAGTTTTGGCAAGATGCAAATGGGTTGTGATTGGGAAGGTAACATCATCCTAATATATTTTTTTGAAGTAATTACTTATTTGAACTTTTCATTTTTATGTGTCAAAGAGTTTTCAAGTGTTAATAAGGACCTTGAAAAGGTTAATTAGTAGTGCTTTAGTGGTACAAAATGTAAACATCACTTTGAGTGATTAATATAAACTTTGTACGTTTTCATTTTGAATGTTGAAGTTGAAAATTGCTTTGCTTAGGATACTAAATTACTAATGATCAGAAAATAACTTTGACTAAAATTCTTTTTTGTTGCTTTCATATGTTGCTTCTGTGGTGGGTTTTGAAATTTCAATTGTGGATGTGAAATTCACTTCCCAAAGATAGTTGCGATAATGCCTATTTATCTCTCAAAGCTCTTTCAGCCGAGTTGCCATAATCGGTAATTGAATCTCTCCATGACGAGTCAGACATCGACCTGGTACACAACTCTCACTCTTTCCTGCTTTTAATTTTGATTGTTTGTGAATTGTGCTTTTTATTTACAATTTGTTGCTGAATTTTATTTTGATAATTTGTGAATTTTGTTTTATTTTTTGTTCAACAGCGTTTAGGGTTATTGCCCACAAATTCTCTTTAGGCCATACAATAAAGTTAGAAGAGCTACGGATTTCCTTTCGACTGGTTCCCCTCTGTCGAGTGCAAACGTGCTCCTAATATACTTGAATTGATTCTATGTCAGTTTCTTTTCTGGGATTGTTTGTGCTCACATTTAAGAATGCGATTGTATTGCTACAGCAATTTCAATTAATTTTTTCTGTGGATATTATTCATGTATGTTGTCGATTATGGTTTGAAAACCCGCAGCAAAGTGCGGGCATTCCTGCTAGTAAATTCTATTTTCAGTAATTATATTGCATCATTATTTTCATAACAACTAATTTCAATTGACATAGAATTCTTACTCACAATCAATTCATTGAATATCACAAATTCAAGATAAATACAGATTAATTATTCATTCATTTATTTTTATTCTCTTATCACAATTGATTCCATACTAAGGCTAATTAAGCAACATTAATGGAACGCTCTCCATTACAGATGCTTTCACAGGCCCTAGAAATTCACTAAAGGATTGACTGACTTGCTCTAATTTAGTCAGCAGCCTCATTTATTGAGTTTGGGTTTTTCTTTCGCTAAAATGTCATTGGTTAGCTGTCAAGAATAAGCTAACTACGCTTGATCGCATTGGTCAGTTTTCCTCTCGAGCCAATCTCAACTATCTGCTTTGCAACTCTGACTTGGAATCTCATTCCCACCTCTTCTTTGATTGTCCCCTTACTAAAGGTCTATGGCAGCATGTGTTGATGAGGTGTGGGGTTCCTTCGCTTCATCCTCCATGGCCTTCTTTTGTGGACTATGTGGCAACCCATTAGAGGGGGAAATCCCTTCACGTGGTGGTTAAAAAGCTTTCTCTTGCAATCACAATCTATTGCATTTGGTGTGAACGAAATAACCTCATGTTCAACAATTGTAGGAAAATCCCTGCTGCTTTTCTTCAGTCAATCACTAATATGATCCGGTGTCAGCTGTGTACTTTGCATCTTAAGCCCTCAACCATTAACATGACGATCCTGCATAATTGGAATGTTGCTGCTTATTAGGCTTTAGGCTTTCCCGTCATCTTCTCCTGAGTGAGTTATAATTAGTTTTATTTTTATATTATTTTTTGCAACAGGTAGGATAAGTTGCATTAATCTACAGAGGGAGGGACTCGAAAACGGAACTTCGAGTATAAGTTACACTTTTCGTGTTCAGCTGGGTTTGATAATAGGCAAGGGCATGGGTTGAACCTTGTAATCACTACAATTCGTTTATTAATTGTCGCTTTTGTCTCTACTGATTGCTTGTACAACACTGTTTTTTTTTTTTAAATGCAAAATATTTGTTTATCCCAATGGAGATTGGTCATTGTCGGCCTATATCAATAAACTGCAAAAGAGAAGAATAAAAATCAGATTAAATTCGCAGCAAAGATGCAAT